AGAGTGCTTTGCATGAAGTCGAATCTGCTGTCTACATGCGCGTGCAGCGACAACACATTCTTCTTCAACACTTTCATCTGGGCATTCATTGTTGCCTCATCCAAGCCCTCTAGTTAAGCCTTGTCAGCCTCTAAAGTTTCAAGTCTGGTTGCTCTAGTTTTCATTTCATTTTCTCTATCGGTCGCCTCTTTCAGGTCCTTCTCTAACTTACGGCGAAGCCTCTCGACCTGTTGGATCTCTCCGAGCTCCCGCTCACGTGCGGTCATGGGGCTGAACTGCGAGCCTGCCATTTGACTTGAAGACTGTCTAGAACCTGTGGAGCCGGAAGTGCCTGAGGAACTTGTGGAACTCGTTGGCATTCCCAACGAGCTCCCATTAGTCCCTGACGAGGATGCAGATGATGATGCAGCAGAGCTTGCGCCGTTAGCCATCGCAACTGCTCTGGCTGCTGTTGCCTGCTCTCTCGCTGCTCTGTTTGCTTCTGCTATCCCCGCTGCTAGCGCACGGGCTCTATGTATCCTTCTTTCTTCTCCCGGCTCCAAGGCCTGAAACACGTGCGGTACCCTTAGTGCCCGTGCACGTGTTAGTCTCCTGTTGTCAGCTCTATCATCAACAGGATCTGACCCACTCATCAATTAGACAGATAGTGTCTACACTAGAATCCCCTAGTGGAATCCTACCGCAGCATGTATCTGACCGACACAAAATTTTCTACATATAATTGTGTCCGGTGAGTCCCCTACTATACCGAATCAAGTGTCATGTCTACAACATTCACACAGATCGTCTACATAGTCTAGATGCACCCTGATTGGTTCACTTACAACAGCATTAGTTAGTACTGGCTATGGTAGCATACAACAGTCCTACACTAATCTGTCTGTGAGGTTAGCAGTCCGTCAACCAACTAATCAAAGGTACAAAAAGACAATGTAGCGGATGTATGATTGATGGGTATGGTTGTGTATACAGTTGAGCACCAATTGAAACCTACCCTCCCCTCAATCCAACCATCCGAACAGCATCATTGAGCAGACAGTGTCTTCGTGTGCATTTCGGCCCACCCCTGTGCCCAAGTTGTCACCGAGCAAGCCAGCCCAACCACTCTTATTTACCCTCGTACGGCGACGAGCCTTCCTGTCCATGTGATCTGGCTGATCAGGAGGGATTTATAGAGCGCCCCCATCTCTTCAGGAATTATTTAACGTTGCAGTCAGGACGACGATCACAGCCAGTTTCACAATGAACTCCCAACCAGAAATGTTTATAGACGGTCTGGTAAGCGTCTGTCATGGGCTGGCACACCCGGAGGAACTTCTATCAGCGCAGCAAGTGCCAAACAGGACAGCAGCCATCGCATGCGTGCGCTACTCCCTGTGGGTTGGCATGGTGACCATGACCCAAGTGCTTCGACCAGGCCCCTTCAGAGGCACCGCCCTTTCTCCTTCCAGATGCTTCCGGGAAGATTGTCGTCTCTCAAGGTAGCGCGCTCACGACACCTCACCAAGGAGAGGACTCTCAAGTTGGACTCACTTCCTCACGGTAAGAAGAGATTGAGAGGGTAGATAAGGTAAGGGATCAACATACCTGGAGATAGCTGCCCCCAACCACAGATTTCTCACCAATTGAGCTGATGTTGCATTTGATGACCGGTC